AGCCACCATGTTCTGGATTATGCAGCAAACTACTCGTCAGAAATACGAAGATTTTCATCACAATTTTCTTCATAATGTTCAGTAATGAGTATTACTCACAGATGATTGGTCTGTTTCGTAAATACATAAAATGTTGTACTTAAGAGGTTCTTTACAAAATGCTTCTGATTTGTGACGGTACATTTTATCCATTCTCGTTTTTGCTTATGTAAAATTTCTTCCACTTACTGAACAGAGAGTGTAACACCTTTGCAACTACTTTTTTATCTGATATAATTATCTCATCTAGAAAGTTCAGATAATTTACTCACGGAGCTTGTAATTAGTAAGCTCATCAACACTGTATTCTCAACGTCAGCGGAAAACAGAACGACCGAGGAAAAGACATGAAGTGTTGAAAATTGGAGACAGATAGAAGAAGGATAAACAGCAAATATGGACTGTTCACTTTAACCGAAATTTCATTCAATTCTCGATAATTACTAAAATACACACATACATACATACTTTAACAGTCGTCGACAAACGCTGGCAAACAAGATTGTTGAACAATGTGTCAGTTTCACTCATGCCCTCCTCAACTGTTTTTAGTCTCTATTCATTCTTGACATGTCTAACACCCATTATCGACACTATCTGACCCATGTTTTGAATTTCCGACAGTAGGATGGAGGATCTCAATTAAGGACTGAACTTGAGATGCAGTTTTGAAAATTCGAAAATATGTTTCCTAAACAAAAACAGCTGTTTTTCAGGATTCCCTCCTGAGCTGGAGGAAGATGTATTGTTCTCTCTCACAGTAGGTTATTATTCATGGTACCTGATCAATGGTTATGAGATATCTTTTATAAACAACTGTTTATAAGCACATATATCTGTAGATGATCGTCTTTATGATAACACTCATCTACACTTCACAAAATACATCAACTAACATGACATTTGTATTGAAAGTTGTGACATCAGTGTGGATGACATTCAGTCATTTCGAGGGTCAGATGTGCCCAACTCCGTTGTTAGGGATGTTAGATCCCCAATACTCGCTCGATAAATGCTGTATCTTGGATTTCACATTTGCCAACATTGGCTGGTCATTTAACCTTGAGATTTCATTTCTCACTAGGAAAATCAATGGCCGTGATTGTCTGCCGTGAATTTCAGTGTGCTATTTTTGTGACTGTCCCAACGATGTTTCTTTGATGTATAAATAAACGAGAGTTGTGTGCTTGATTGTATTAAGATTGTTGAGTGTTGTAGAATGTGCTTTCTACGCTTATCTAGAACTCTGTTTCGCAGTTGGGATCAAGGTAGCCGACCTGGACGATGGTAACTGTCTCGTTAGCGTTTATCTACTGAGGTGAACCCGTGAAAGCTTCTAAGTGTACCCAGTGACGGACTAAGCATTCCTACACAGCGCTAAGAAATAATTATTACCTCATTAGATCACAAATACCAAATTCACATAATCCGAATGTAATATATGAAAGCATTAGAAATTCTAGTATCAGTAGAAATCTATAACCACTGCACGATCACTCGTCCTGCTATGGAACCTATGACCAGTGCGCAGGCACAAATACGACTCAAAACAATCGAGTCACGCATGTTGACAATCATTCATTTCATTGATTCCCTACCTGCGCAAGTTTACAACAATCATACAAATAACATGCTCACCTGAAGAATTCCACAGAATCAAAATATTTCTCTATTTTTGTTTTTGTCAATGTTCTCTTCTATCATACCACACTATTTGTGGTACAAATTCCAATGTATACTTCATAAAAATAAATGTTTTATACAATCAGTTGAATATTTTACACATACACTATTCACGGTATTTCCATTTAAAAGTATTAATAGTAGTAGCAGTAGTAGCAAAAGCATTGATATTGTTTATTAGCACAAAATCAACCTGAAAGTTGAATTTGTGAAACCAGTGAACTCTTGTACTCTAGTCATCTACATAAATAGTGCTACTACTATTAATATTACTAATAGTAATAATACTAATATTAGCCATGAGTTTTTTGAAATATTTTACAGTGTATAATAAAATTGAATATTGAACAGTGAAAATTGAAGCACTGAGAATAACTTCACTTCAGATATCATAAGTAAATAATTCAAATTGTTGTCTGAATTTCGACATCGTCTCCCAATGAAAGTATCGACGAGTTAAGTTGTCTCGTTAGTTATTTGACATAGAGAAGAGACGACAACTGTACGTAGATGACGCCTTGTGATACATTAATTCTCATCAGTATTCATTCGGATGATTTTCAATGACTAACATTTGGCCTTTGGTCAAAGACGCAGTTTTCATTCACTCATGTAGTGCACCTGTTATTTTAGTACTTGAGAGCTTGTGTAGACCACATCAATGAGATGCTTTATCAAATGATTTGCTTCAATCTTTGATTGTGACGTTGACCAAAATCTCATTATGTCGAGCCACTATCTAATTCTCTCTGGCCACTTGTAATCAGGTAAAGCATGAGTACTTCCTCTGAAACCCAGTGCGGTTATGAATGGATACATTGTTTATTTCTGCATGACTCAGCAACTGAGTTTGAATAACTGTTTTCAGTGACTGAACTCTAATGCTGATTAGACTTGTAGGTAGTGAGTTAGAAAAATTCTGTTTCTTGTAGTATTAGAGCATCGTTCCAATGCGTAGGCAGTTGAGTATAGGTAAAAGGGATATGTTGTAAAGCACCATGCGTTCTTTCACTAAAGTGTCTGCTAGGGAACACAGCATTTATGGGTGAGAATTTCAAGGACCCACATATGTTACAGGTTTAGGTTAGGAAGAAGAACAGCTTATGGCAGATCGAATACATTTGAGTTTGAATACATATAATTTAGGTAAGCCTTCTGATTAACTCTTTTAATAGACAGTCATTTGTACAGCAGCAACTTATCTGTGCCATTGTGCTATTGTTCTGATCTGGTTTGTATGAGCAGGTATGACTGAATATTGCTTGGCGCCTAAAGACATAATAGTTGTACTTCCTCAACAATCCTATGACTAATTCATTTTCTAATGTATAAATATATATATATATATATATGTAGATTTTAATCCTTTTCAATGACTTCACTACCAAAGTGCTCAGTGTCTAGCTCACTTGCTCTTCGACACTCTCATGTCATTTCCGATACGTCGTCATTTGCCTATGGATTGATCAATTGTGTGGTGATATAATAAATGTTATCAGCAGGTGCAGTATACTGAGAATACCGACCGCCGCAGATCTGGTGAGCTCGCATCAATTACGAGTTGTTTCAGTCACAAGTGCTGGTTCCATAACTGGCATCTCGATGGTATAATTGTGAGAAGTGTTCTTAGCAATACCAGTAGAGAATACCTCACTGAATTAGTTTGATAAAGTTTTAGCCTCTGTCAAATCTGACTCAGCTACTAAACCTGTATTTTTGTGAAGCGACAATGGAGGAATCCGATAATTGTGTTCAACATTTCTTTCAGTCTACGAATGCAATAGTTAAGGGCAGTTACACCTATCGTATGCCAACTGTCTTTCTTGAGTGTTTAGGTGACTTGATTTGATCTTCTTACGTATTCATCTTACCCACCAATTTGTGTAGAACGTGTAATACGCAACACAACGAATGGATGTGTTACACATTTACAATCTTAGAAACAAAACGACGGAGCTCAGTTTAATGACGATAGAAGTGAGTTCCAGTGCATTTCTTGTCACAGAAACGTGGTCCGTTGAAGACTGCTCTCTAATCCATACCAGATACACCTGCATTGCATTTGATTCAGTCATAAGTCACAAGGAAGGAGAAGTAATTTCTTTGTGAGAAATCCGTTCAATGTTCATTCTAGCATCTCTGAATCGCATGATATTGGTACATGTGAGGATGCTTGTTGTATAATAAAGTCGACAGTAGTGTGAGTGACCAAATTAGAGATACGCTACAGTCCATGTTATCTTCCTGACCATTACATCTTAAGCCGTATCTGTACTTGGAGTAACTCAACAGGATGATAGCTTTATGACATGCTTTCATATATATATTTCACCAAGTTGGAGAGTATGGTATCATCTCAAATCTGTGATTATGCGCATTTATTTGAGTCTGATTTCTACTGATCATCTGCACTAGAAGCTGATCAAACGTGGCACAATGTTCTACATTGTGCACTTATACACTGAAGAATTTTCTGAGCATTTCATTGAGCTCTGATGTCTATTTATTGATATTGACACATGTTTGCTCACACGCAACTTAACGATAATACAATCACAATCGATTCATTCTCTAGTGATATTATTTCATGAAATTTGGTTTTTAAGAAAAACAACAATTTATGTAATTTTATGTAATTTTATTCAAATTGTAATGAGTTACATTGTGTTATTTGAAAAGGAAAAACACACATTCAAAACAGTTTCCAAAAATCTTTCCAATTTATGAAAAAGAAATTAAGAAAATGGTGATATATGATAATTCATGAAAAGGGATCAATATTTTTCTATTGAAATCATAAATGATTGATTCACAATGAATTGTGTTGTTACAACTAAATAGTCAATGTGAATGATAGTTTTGTATGGCAATGGAGTTTAGATGGGACACTGATGACGATCATTACATTACAATGATTTAACCTAGTTTGCAACACACAACAATCATGTATACTGACTGATGTATGATGTTGAACAAATGTATTACTCTTCAGTGTGTCTATAATTTTATTTTTATTCAATTCATATATGATGATCAACTAAACAATGGATGATAACTTCTTTCAGTGATCACTCATGATGTGCTGAGCCTAGACAGCCATAAGGACACTAGTAACAATTGATTCGGATTCCTAGGGCATAGAATCTAGAATATGGAATTGTAAATTAGTCATCCTAATTTCATTTCTCGTCTAACTGGTATCTCAAATTTACACCATTTTCTCAACATCATCATCATCAGCATCATAAAATTTTTATTACTATCTCCTAATTTCTCACCTTCTTCATATTCATCGCCATCGTCTTTTTTCTTGTCATTAGTAGCACCGACTGTCGTACCTACTTCATTTTCTAAATTCACATCGGCTGTGTAAGTGTGAAAAATACCGTTGAACATCTCGGTATTTTCTTCGGTATTATCATCGACTTGATCAGATGAATCTGAATTTAGAAAAAAAGACACCAAAATTATTTTAGGTACGTATTGTCAAGCGATTTATGCAATGGTCATGTGTACATGAAACATTCTATTCTTGTGTTATAATGACTTGTCCAATTAAAAAATTATGACAACGTGATTTAAAATGGACATTTGTTATTCTCGATGCAATCAACAATTAGTCAAACGAATTTGCCTAAGTTTGAGCTTGTTAATCAGAGACGTAATGTTTATCGTAACAAAACATTTTTCCAACAATGAAAATATCACATAATAGTATCCAATTTCAATATGGAATATTTAAAACTTACATTGATATGCTTGAATGATTGTGAGTGTCATTGTTAGGCATAAGATGAAGTAAATCGTTGATAAACGCATTCTATTTCTACAATGTACTACTTAGCTTGAAGTGCTTGAGTGAATGAACGATTAGACACGAATGAGAAGACGACGAAGCAGCCGCCTACCATTCTATATTTAAATCGATACGGACCAATGATATGAAATGGAATTTCTGAGTCTGTTATCGTGTACTAATATGATTGGTATTCGCCTAATCTGGTTTACTTAGTAGTTCATAGGAATTCCATGCAAAGTTTTTAAATAGTTTAAGTGAGAATGATTATTTGTGTCAATGTTTATTTCATAGCTACTTGGATGTTCAAAGCTAATTGAGACATCTAACAAGGCGCTCACAATAAAGTGTTTCAACTCAAAACACATAATTAAGAATGAAATTAACATTGTGATTAGGAATTTGTAAGTTTGTGATATTGAATATCAAGTTATGATGTGCAATGATCATATTCCGTAATATGCAGTATGGTAGTGGATGAAATCTATGCAACATATTGACTGTTAGCGATGTGTACTAGTGCGACGGAAATGCAATTGAATTAGTTGCGATTGTAACGCCGGACGTCAGACGATGATGCTTGATTACTTGATACACATATTTACCTAATGCTCACCACATGATTAGGCATCAAATATCAAATGCATAAGTGAGCTTATCTACACAAAATAACCAAACGTTGAATGAGTTTCACAAAGTCTTATGCCTATCACAAACATTAATATGAGTTGTTTGTTTGATTGAAGAACAACGGCTTTTCTCGTCTTTCAGTGATGTTTGTACAAACCAAGTGTTGATGATTTCGGTGAGATTTGGTGGATAGTCGGAAATGATTGTTGTATGACTGACTATGTGGTTCCTGATTCCACCTATGTGAATAAATATTTAGATATTTATCAACTGTTTTGATATTGTGCTAAGCCAAACGAGATAATATTTGCTTATCCAACCATCGACTCCTATAATTATTCACCCATTGTAACTAGATCAATGAAAACAAATGAATCGATCAATTCATACAGAGAGATAATGCGAATTTCGGGAAGTTTGTTTACATCGCAAATATGAATGTAGGATTGTTATAAGAAGGAAATATTACCTATCAAAACGTTCTATATATGATTAGTGAGTGTTTGACATAAACTTGTCACTGTCTTGATTTTTATATCTCTGTTCATGCATCTCACTAGATATTCGTTCATACTGAACAAACTCTAAATATAATCTATCTGGTTTGTAGTTGTTTCGTCTCACCAAAGACGTGAACACGATTCATCACACACTATCAATCGGTTTCGTTTGTTTCTTCGAGGAAGAAAACATGCCAAACTAGTACATAGAGAAATGGATTTTATTCATTTACGCACTCACACACACACTTCATCCAAATTGTCAAATTGATATTCTCGTTCAATAACTAAATAAATATAATACATAGCATAGTCACGCAAGAAACAGAACTAAGAAACATTTAGAAATTCATTCATCGTGATCACGTTTTAAGATTTCAGATATAACAAGCAAGGTTTGCTCTATTTTTGAGTGGATAGTGAAATAATAGGAAAATGTGATAGATATCACATCAGATTCACCGAACATTATTAAACTTTCTCATGCACACATACGAGAGTAATGTAAACCGGAAGGATAATAAAGTATATAACTGTAGTGATTTATCAAGAACTTACCATGTTTCCTTGTCATTTAGTTTCATTCACTTTATTTACTATTTCAGTAGAGTTAATAAAAACTGAAACTGCATAAAAATATTACTAACAATACACAATTCATCTTAACTTTCTGTGTCATCAGTATTCAAATCATTTTGAAACGGGTCAATATTCCATTTTACAAACTAGAAAACGTTTCCGTATCGAATGCTTGCATTAGGTTGGACTTTAGTGTGTATACTAGTATGCTGAGGTCACAATGGTTGTGTTAGCCTTTGGACTAATAAGCAGTCAATGTTAGAACACTATGCTGTTCAGAAGAACAATGAAAGCTGCAAAACAAAAACATTCAGCTCAGACAGTGAAACTTTATCACATATTTAGATTAGCCTTGTCGTATTGATTTGGGTTACTCGGCTTTTCTATTCCATTATGATGATGAATCTAGTTTGACGATATAGTGTGATCAATCTAGACGACTGTTGTATGTCTATACTGTATTCGATTCACATAGTTTCATTTTATTCAGCATTTTACACAGAAAAACCAGGAAAGAATCATTGCTAGGTCACTATTAATAACGTGAAAGCAGTGGACAATCATTTCATCTTCATATGTAACTCATCAGTGGCATTGTGCATCCACGACTCCTACTAATTGCAGGATTCGAACCAAGGACCTGCAGACCTAGACAACTGAGCTGGCATCCAACTGTGTCACTGTCTAACTCTCATCAATCAAATTTGTTGAAGATGCTCGTTTTTGAAGTCAGTTAGAAATGATGTCATTGCAAACAGTGTAAACTTAATTTTAGCAGTAATATTATTTTGAAATTTCAATCGATCGTTTGTATTGTCTGTCTCTCATTAGTAAGCACCTTCATATTTTGTGAATTATTTTATACTACTTAATAATATTCAGTAGCCAAACAGAATAACTAACAAAAACAACCATTCATATTCATTCAGTTTTGACAGAATATTCTGTTCGTTCATTGTGGAAAAATTCGAAAAGTTCACTTCTATTTAAAATTTGTGACAACATGATTAGATAGAGAAAAAATCGAAGTTTTATGATTCCACTGACATCCTCAAGGAAAGCGACATGATCATCATCATCAGAATTAACTAATATCCAGTGAAATGAGGTTAATGAAGTGACAGGTCAATAAATGTTGACGTATCATTGATGTTTAACGAATTGAAATTTTAGTGAGTTTAACGACAGAAACTGATTTACTCGGGAATTTCAAATATAACGAGACGTCCTTACTTACTTTCTTACTTAATTAATTACCCCATTTACTCCCAATCGTGCATAGGGCGCCCACCAGTTTTCGCCAACAAACTCAGTCCTGGCCTTTCCTTTCCAGTTCTGTCCTATATTCAATCATTCTTCTCATATCTTTCTCAATTTCACGGCGTATTTTGTTCCTTGACCTTCCTCTTTTCCTTTTGCCTTGAGGGTATGTCTCGTGACGCAGTTAGGTGCTGTTCGCAGTGTGTGTCCTATCCACTTCCACCACTTCTTCCTGATTTCCTCCTCCGCTGGAATTCGGTTTGTTCTCTCCCACAGTAGGTAGTTGCTGATGGTGTCTGGCCAATGAATCCGAAGTATTATGAGTAGACAACTGTTATTGAATACTTGTATCTTCTGGATGAAGGATTTCGTAGCTCTCCAAGTTTCCGGTTCATACAGAGGAACTATCTTGATATTTGTAATGAAAATCCTGATTTTGGTTTTGTTTGAAAGTTGTTCGGAGTTTCAGATATTTTTCAACTGTAGAAATACAATAACGAGACGTGCGTCACGGATTTCAATGATAGTAATTGTTTAGTCAAAGGAAAATATCATTTCAATATCTCGAGTTACTTAGTGATATACCTAGTAACGCCTTTCACCCATCTCCAACAATCTCTTCATTCGACTCATCTTTCTACTTGTATCTAGTCGTTCTTGATTCTCGTCATTTCTGTCTCATATTGGCGGTACAGTGTGTGATAATGTCAACCTTCCTATTATTTACCATTCCAGATTCAGTGTAAAAACCTTACTTGTAACGGAGTTTGGTGAATTCCTCAACCTGTGTCCTAACAATCCCTTATTTATTTTTCAGATATTTATTCCTCTGCTTCAGTAGGCTGGTTTGTTCATAAATCCATATAGTAGGTCATTATTCATTATGGCCTGATCAAATTTTATGGAATATTTTGTGCTACCGACTGTTTAGAAAACGTTTTGAGTTCCAGATGTTTCCAACTCCGTTAACAGCGATAAGAAATCACTGACACTACGATAAATCACGACAGCTAAATTCACATAACCTGAATACAATGTATGCTAGCAGTAGAATTTCTACCATCAGTAGAAACCTATAAGCATTGCACGATCATTTCGTCCTGCTATGGAACTTATGATCAGTACGCAGACAAAACTCCCACAAACAAAAATCGAATCCCACATGTTCAGAATCATTCATTTCATTGATTCCCCCGCAAGTTCATAACCATTATACAAATAATAAGCATCAGTAAATAATTTTAGAGAGTCAAAAAATTTCTTATTTAAAAACTTAGTTGCTGAGTCATGCAGAAATAGACAACGTATACATTCATAACCGAATCGGGTTTCAGAGGAAGTATTGATGCCTAACCTGATTACAAGTGGCCAGAGAGATTTAGATAGCAGCTCGACATAATGAGATGTTTGTCAACGTCACCTTCAAATATTTGAGCAAAGCATTTGATAAGGCATCTCATTGATGTGATCTACAGACGCTCTCAAGTACTAATATAACAGGTGCACTACATGAGTGAATAAAAACAGCGTCTTCGACCAAAGGCCAAATGTTAGTCAATGAAAATCATCCGAAAGAATACTGATTACAATTAATGTATCACAAGGCTCCATCTACGTTCCGTTGTCGTCTCTTCTCTACGTCAACTAACTAACTGGACAACTTGACTCGTCGATAGTTTCATCGAGAGTCGATGTCGAAATTCGGACAACAATTTGAATTATTTACTTATGATATTTGAAGTGAAGTTATTCTCAGTGTTTCAATTTTCACTGCTCAATATTCAATTTTACCATAGACTCTCTCAAATATTTCAAACTATTCATGGCTAATATTAGAAATATTACTATTAGTAATATAATTAGTAGTAGCACTATTTATGTAAATGACTCGAATACAATAGTTCACTAGTTTCACAAATTCAACTACTACTGCTACTACTATTATTACTTTTAAATGGAAATATCGTGATAGTGTATGAGAAGAATATTCAACTGATTGTATAAAACATTTATTC